TGACAGTGGTCAGTCGGCTGCCTCCGGGTATCGCGTGTAAGGGATTTTCTTCCTCCTGCATGCTCCTGCTGCTTGTTGCTTGATTGCTTGACCCTTAGGCTGCTTGTCTGCGCGGCTTCGCGCTTGGGCTGGCGATGCCGCGTCTGGGTGCCAGCAGTGCTGGTTCTTTTCGGGCTTGTGTTTTGTGTGTGATTGTGCAGCTTCTCGCTGTGGACTGTGTGCCTGCCGGTTCAGCTTGTTCCTGCTTTGTTTTGCTTGAGGCACTTTTTACCTTCTGCAGTAATCCTATGACCTTAGACGCGATACCCGGAGGCAGCCGACTGACCCAGTGACTGTCAGTCGAGACGTCCGCTGCCGCCACAAAGCGGGCGGCCGCGGACGAAGAAAGGGCAGCCGCCGACAAGGAGCCGGCGTGGCCCGGGGGTCCGCCTGGGGCAGCGGACGGAGGGAGGCTGGACACTGGAACACGGTACCGCTCGAGGTAGTCCTCCTCGCTAGCCTCCGAGTCAGCGGTAGCCGAGTCAGCGGTAGCCGCCCGTGACGGCGGCGACGCCGCGGCAATGCCCAAGGACCGGCGTGACCCGACCGATGCCGGGGAGGAAGCAGGCGAGCTCGGACCAGCAGCAAGCACCCCAGTGGTGTCGAGCTCTCCGGAGGCACCCGACGTCACAGTGAGGGACGGAGACGCCTCGCCAGCTCCGCGCCGATCGTCGGCGCCACTCGACGTGTTTCCCCCATCGGAGTCGGAGACCTCCGGCGAAGACTCCCCCTTGGGCGACTCGACAAAGTCCGAGGAGGAGCTGTCCTCTGGCTCGAGAAGTGCTTGCGCCCGCAAGGGCGTCATGCGCCTCGCACCAGACAAGAGCGCCTCCAGCGTCAGCTGCACTGATAGTGAGGCGCTGATAGGTGGCGGCGCGTTTGCGAGCCAGGACCTCAGCAGCAGGGCCGTCATCAGGCACGAAGTGCCGACCAAACGCCGCATCCTCAAGAGGCATCGAGCGCTGAGCAATGATGTCCGCGAGATACCAGATGAAGCGGAGGGTGTCAGGATGCAGGGCTATAGGATTTACTGGCAGAAGGTAAAAAGTGCCTCAAGCAAAACAAAGCAGGAACAAGCTGAACCGGCAGGCACACAGTCCACAGCGAGAAGCTGCACAATCACACACAAAACACAAGCCCGAAAAGAACCAGCACTGCTGGCAACCGTCAGCGCGGCACCGCCAGCCCAAGCGCGAAGCCGCGCAGACCGTACCGACAAGCAGCCTAAGGGTCAAGCAATCAAGCAACAAGCAGCAGGAGCATGCAGGAGGAATAAATCCCTTAGACGCGATACCCGTAGGCAGCCGACTGACCACTGTCAGTCGA